GGTGGGGATGACAAGAAGGCAGAAGTCCTGCATCTGTGACCTGAGGACAAGGATGCATCTCGGCCTCTCAAATGTCCCCTCCTCTTAGCCCAGAGCTTGCTGATCATTCCCCAATTTTTCCAACCCCAGGAAAGCTTCGATTCTCCTGAGACTGCATCCTCCATAAAGGGGCTCTGGTGGTGCAGTGTCTGAGGCACTTAACTGTTAACCAGAAGGTTGGCAGTTCAAACTCACCTGACACTCTGTGGAAAGTAGACAGGGGAAATCTAATGGGAGTCGCTGTAAGTGGGAATCAACTTGATGGCAGTGGGTTGGGTTTGGCATGCCCAGAAGCTCCCGAATGCCTGGAGAAGAACCCCACACTCCCATTAAGGACACGACCCTTAGACCCATGAAGTGCTCATTTTCCTGTTGAATCCCATGACTTTTCCTTCTTTTTCATGTCTAGTTGTTTGGATGGGATGAGGTCGGAATACGTCTCTCTTTGTTGGATCCTAGGAATTATGGTTCTAATCTTCTTATTCACAGAGTCCCCAGTATTGCAGGATTTTCTGGAAAGTCCTGGTCTTTCTTCACTGTCAATCATGGAGTACTTCAAATCAAGTTGGCCGAGCCACCATGGGTGTGGGGTCACTGGATGTGGGCTCACCATGTTCCTGGAGGGGAATAAGAATCTCTGACAAGGAGGAGGGTTCTGTACACAGTGATGGGTCTATTTTTTCAATCTTGGTAACTGTTATAATAGTAGATTCAAAAGTGTCAACTATATTAGAGTCATAGAAAATAATGAATTGCCAGGCAAAGAATGAAGGGCAAATGAAAAATAGGAGAAGTGAGCGGAAGCAGATAACTTTGTGCTGGCTCTGTAACCTCATGTTTAGACAGACATCAAAAGTCAGGGCCTGTACAATGGGCATTGGAAGATCTAACAAGAGACCCGCACAACGGTAACAACAATGACACCATGGGTGAATCTGTAAGAATAATCCATGTAGGTTTAGTACCAGATTTATTTCTAGGTTACTCTGGGAAATTTCAGGCTATGATCTGGATTCACTATAGTCTTACAATGGTTATGACCTCAGCTACCTGGTAGAAGCTAACTGAAGTATCAGATAACTCTGAAAAATATGGTACCATAAGATCTGCTCCTTCACCCACATTCAACAACTTGGAGGTCATTAGTGGCCTGAAGACAATTAATGTGTCAGTTCCAAATCCTATGGAGAGAGCCTACTCATTGCACTGCTCTGGGAGGGGACATTGGAAAGATCCACCTGCAAACATCAGGAAGCCCTTCCAGGAGTGCTGGGAAGTGTCTGAGGGGCTGGGGGACCCAGGATATGAGACCATCATGGGGAGCTGTTCGACCAGTCCCGAGAGGGTAGGGTTCTGGGCAAGGCCAGCTAGCCCAACACTCTACTGATTCTCACACACTTGGGCAAAGCTGGTCTTCACTGGTATCCATTCCTGCACTTGGGGTCCACAGCAACCACAGGAGCTCTCAGCCCTGACTCACACCCTGACTCACACCCTTGCTTCACACTGAATATTCCACCTCTCATGGAATCATTGCCCAGGCCTGACATCCGGGCAGGTTGTAAGGGCAATCACAGAACAGGAACAAATTTGCATAAATAAACTTGGCCAACAAGATGATCTGGGCATAGCATAAGTGACACATGGGAAGGAGTTGTTCTCAATTCCAATAATGAGGCTTGAGCAAGCAAAGTTCTGAAACATTTGCACCATAACATCAACCCTCTCCACCTCAACTTGTGCACGTGCTATACAGGGAGTTTCCATTATGGGGCAAGTGAAAGGAACTGGGGACACATCTGCCCTGACTTCTTCATCTAGGCCAGAATGATGGGTCCTCTCATTTTTCACATTGTCTTAGGCTGGGTCTTTGGTGAAGCAAAGTTATTGAAGCTCATATCTGTATCTGTAGCTGTGTCTCTATCATCTCTCTCTCTCTCTCTCTCTCTCTCTCTCTCTCTCTCCCATCTGTCATATATCTCCCTATATATGGAGAGAGAGGGAGAGATAGAAGAAATGTATCTCAAAGAAATGGCTCACAGGGTTGTAGAGACACGCAAATCCCAAATCTGTGAGTCAGATGTCAAGATGGAGGCTTCTCCTAGCTCAAGTAGCTTCAGGGACTGACAAACCCAGGATCAACAGACAATATGCCAAACTGCTGGATGCAGAGGTTGATTAATCTGAGATTGGCAGGTACGACAGCACTTTCCTGGCCTGTAGGCTGAGAAGACCAACATCCCCAAGATCAGCAGGCACTACAGAAGGCAGTTGGTCCTGTTGGCAGTTGGTCAAGTTCAAAACCAGTGGTCAGATGATGATGAGCCAGATGTAGGATGCAGAGAGAGGAAACAGCCAGAGAGCTGGATTTCAAAGGATTTCCAAGGCTGTAAACTTTATGGAAGCAGACAGCTTCATCTTTCTTCTGCAGAAATAGAGAAATAGTTACTGGTTAATTCTAGACCTAACAATGTTACTTGTTTTTTCCCAAATAATGGAATGCAGTCCAATCTCTATAGAAATTCTGAAAGCACTGCATATCTTTGGGAACTTGTGCTGAATTGCTGTGTTTTGAACTTGCCACTGAACATTGTTATTTCTGGGTCACACTCATCCTGTACTGTGCCCCCAAGAAGCCCCTCCTGCCCCACAAAGCAGCTCAGCTGACCCCTCATCTGAGATGCCTGACCTGTTGGTGCACTTGGGTCATGGAGCTTTCTGCAGAATCTTCACTGAAGGTGATCACACCTTCAGTGGTACTTTATGCACATGTTTACATTCCTATAGACTGGATTCCTTGGGGAGTGATAACTGTGTATCTCAGTATCTAAGAGTCAGACCATCGATGTGTGGATGGAGACAGTGACCCGGTGAGTGGCTGAGAGCAGCTGGACTGTCAGGTCACAACGATGGGAAAGATGTGCTCTGTGGCCAGCAGGGGGCACTGGGGACCAGCCCTGTGGTTCCACCTGCTTCACAGTAAGGACTATTCAATGAAAGGAGCCCATGCCGGGGGGTGGGGGGGCTGTGCTCACTGATGGGACCCAGCTGACAGCTGTGTCCTGTCAGTCCTGGCAGAGTCCCCTGAGGAAGAACCTTTGTGTGGTGTCAGCAGGTGCTGAGCTACAGGGAGAAGGTTCAGGGAGGGGCTGGGCCAGTAAAGGGATGGAAGGACATTTGAATTGGCAGCCCCTCCTCCGGCAGAGCCTGGAAATAAAAGGAGAGCCTGGGGCAGCCAGCCCCACTGTGGGGCCTCAGCAGGGCTGTGTCCGCCATGGCCTGGGCCCCTCTCCTCCTCGTGCTCCTCTCTCACTGCACAGGTAGGGACAGGGCTCTGAGACCCGGGGAAGCCTCCTTGTCTGAGTCAAGCTCTCTTGTTTGGATCCCCAGCACTTTCGCCATGGCCCCTGTCCCTCACCCATGAGCATCTCTGTTTTACAGGTACCTTCGCCCAGTCTGTGGTGACTCAGCCACCCTCTGTCTCTGCATCCCCGGGAGCATCTGTGAAACTCACCTGCACCCTGAGCAGTGACATAAGTGTGGGCAGCTACACCATAAGCTGGTACCAGCAGAAGCCAGGGAGCCCTCCCCGGTATCTCCTGTACTACTCCTCAAGTACAAGTTTGGGATCTGGGGTCCCCAGCCGCTTCTCTGGAGGCAAAGATGCCTCGGCCAATGCAGGGCTCCTGCTCATCTCTGGGCTGCAGCCTGAGGACGAGGCTGATTACTACTGTATGATCTGGTACAACAATGTTTCCACAGTGAAGCAGGCAGATGAGGAAGTGGGACAAAAACCCCAGGCTTTTCAGTGTCTCTGAGGCTGTCTCTTTTATTATTAAAATAAGTTTAATGTACACTATTTCTGAAGATAGTATCTGATAACAGTGGCTGTCCCCTTAATTTCTATTCGATATTTCTGAAGGCCTAGGAAATCAAAATATTAAAAAATCATAGTTGAAGAAACAAACTGAAAAAAATACCCACAATAACACTGAAGCTCCCCACCAGGGTCCACATGCAAAAAAACCCAGAGCCCATATAGTTGTCCTTTGATGGGACGATCATAAACCCCTGGGAGAAACAATTCAAATTTCAGGCAATCCTAAAAACTCTGGTGCCATAAAGTGTACCCTACACCCATCTGAGCAGACTGATGGACACTGGTAACCTGGATGCAGTTAGTATCTCAGCCTCACACACTGTGCAAGGGACCTCCTCATTCTTCTGTCCTGGGTAGTGACAGTAGAAAGAGCCATCTGAAAGTGAAGCTGCCTTCCAGGGAGCCTGGTGGTGTCTCTGGGGCAGGAGAGTCTGGGCTCTAAGACCAGCAGGAGGTGCTCCTGCACTAGTCTTGACAAAGCAGGTTCTGGGCCAGGCCAGTTAGGACAATAATAACTCTAGAAAACTTGGACAGGCAGTGTCCTCCGTGCAGTGTGACTTTTCTGCCCCTGGGTCCCCAGGAGCCACAGGAGCCCTCAGCTCTGACTCGCCCCCTCGCTTCGTAGCTCCCCCTCCAGCCCTCATAATGTCATTGCCCAGGCTGTCACCCAGACAGGGTGCGGAAGACGATCGCCTCGCAGGACCAAGTCTGCATGGAGACACTTGACCAGCAGGATTGTCTGGGCAGAGGGCACGTGACACATGGAGAGGAGTTCATCTCAGTTCCACCAATGAGGCTTCAGCAAGTAGAGCTCTGAGGGCATCTTGGCCATGGCCCCATCCCCTCAGTTCACCCTCTTCACATATTAGAAAGGACGTTTCCATTATAGGACAAGTGAAATGATAGTGGGGCCTTGTTCCCTGACGTTCACACCTGGCATCTGGGCCCAGGTGGTCAGTCATCCCATTCTTTCTGTCACCTTCTCTCCTGCCTCCAGTGTTCAAGGTCAGACTATGCTGACTCTGCCATCCACAGTGTCAGGGGCTCTGCGAAAATACAAACATACATGCAAACATGCACACGCACATGCTTATGCACATACACTAATCAGTGATCCAATCTTTCCCCTCTAACAAAAGTCCAAACTAGAAGGCATCATGAGAAAGTTCTATCAAATGTGCAACACCTCCCGCCAAAGACTTTAAATAGAAAGAACATTGGCTAACCTCATTTTCTGCTTTCAGCAAGATCATGACATGAAACCCAACAGGAACAATATCAAATTAGAAAATTCTAGGAATATCTCATCTATGAACACAAATGCAAATCTCGTCACCATATTAGGAGACAGAATCCATGGTAAATTGAGACCTATCATTGTAACCACTAGGAAGGATTTGGACTGATGGGGATATTTGCAGTTTCTGGGAGATGTTAACATGGATTTTGGAGGAGAGCAGACATGGAGAGTGACTGAGGCCCTACACGGTCTGCAGGCCACGCCCACTGCACCTCTGGGCCGCCATCTTGATCACCTTCCATTCTCTAGCTCTGCCCCAACCAAATACACATCTCAGCTGCTTTCTAAGCATATCAAGGGTCCCATTT